AGTAGAAATGTGTAACTGAGGTATATTGGGTGCTAAATACCCTACTGATCCTAAGAAACCTTGTAACAAATCTTTATTAGTAGGTACTTTCCATTGTTGAATAGAATCGACTTTATGAGGGTCCATTCTAATGCCTTGATCATTGATAATGTGTCCTAGTATCTTCAGTTCTTTCTGGAACAATTGTATCTTATGTTCACTAAGGTAGAATTTCTCCTTGTGCAATATATCAATGACAGTTCTGAGATGTTGCATATGATCCTCAATTGTGTCTGAATAAATCACTAAGTCATCTAGGTAGATATCCATCCAGTCACCCAAGTAAGGCTGGAAAATGTGGTTCATTAATGCTTGATAGATGGCTCTACTATTACAATCACCTAATTGCATTACTTCACTAACCATTGTTCCATCCAGAGTGTTGAATATTGATCTGTTTACATGCTCAGGGATTATTCTAATCTGTTCATACGTGTCTTTGCCATCAATGAGCAATTTATACTTCTTGGAAGCTACTCTCCTCAATACTGATTTGATATCTAGTAAAGGAGATGATAGTTTCTTGGTATTCTTGTTGTGCTCTCTAAGATCAATGACGGTTCTCAATCGTATAAGGTCTTCCTTGGTCTTTCTAGGCTTTTGAAGTAGTAGCATAAGCATTGCATTTGATCCTGTAACTACTTTCCATCTTCCTGATTGAATATAGTCCTTTCTCTTGTTTTGCTATTGCTCTCTCAAAGGATCCGGACAAGTTGCCCTATGGAACTTGTATTTCTTATCCTCATCTAGGAGTGGTATACTATGATTAATGGCTCTGAGAGGTGGTAGAAGTGTTTCCAAAGTGTCTTTGAACAAATCCACAGTATATTGCTTGATTTCTTGTCTGCATTTGTCAATTTCTCAATCATAAGTATTAATAACCTTTGATGAAACGACTGTGACTTGTTCTCCTGTTATTAGTAGAGGTATTGTGCTTTCAATCCATAGTCTGGACTCATTGAAACCAATAGAAATCTTGTGCTAGAAGAGGAATGGTGTTCCTAGTATAATATCATAGTTATCCAAATTCATGATATCAAAGTACTGTATTGTGTTTATCTCTCTGTATTGTATTCTAGTGTCAGTACAATAGTTTACTTTCGATCTAGAGCCTTGTACTGCCAATTGTATAGGTAAAGGTTTGGCTAAAGCAAGTTTCCTGATGCCTATTTGATCTGCAAACTTGGTAGACATGAAATCTGCTAATGATCCTGAATCAATTAATGCTCTCACTAATTCTCCATTGATTTTGATTATGATTATGATAGGACATGGTATTGATCTCTTAAAGTCCTTAGCATAAGCTGTAGTACACTCAATTGTATTAAAATCATTGAAGTTAGTAGTCATAGTGTGGATTTGCACAGGTAAATCATGCATATATGCTCTATTTCCAGATATGGGATGCAAGTCAATGTTTTCCATGCTTGCAACTGAATACATTGGCTCAAACAATTCAGGATTAAAGATATCCTCTATCTCTAATGGTTCCTAATGATTGTAAACGTATTTGGCTGAATATTGAGCTTGTCTGAGTAGAGAATACTATTCTCTGACATCAAATCCATTCAGAAAAGCAATTTTAACAAGTAATGTGTACTCATTTCCGTTCTCCCAATTGTCAATGATTGTAAACTGCATATCTGTACTTCTGAAAACATAGAATCAATTGTGTAGATACTTATTCCAAAGTCTTCTGTTGCATTTCCAGTCAAAACAGTACAGAATTCCTTCTATAAGACATCTAGTAATTCCAAAACATACTGTATCATTGTATTCACTGTAGAAATTACCATTTCTGTAGATTGATCTCATTCTCCTCTGATTTCTCTTTCTAAGTTCAGCATTTACAAGGGGAATCTTCAATTCTGAAGTGTCAGAAGAGGTTTGTGGCTTTAAATCCGATTGTTCTAGACCAAATACTTGCAAAATAGTATTGTAACCAGCTAATGAATTGTAATTCTTATTCTTCTGAGTTGTAGACTCATAACTATCGTCTGGATAATGTATCTGAATAGCCATAGATTGTATTTGCAACGTAGAAGATGATGGATCCATTGTATTGTCTACTATAAGATCCAAATCCAAGTAATTATTGTCTTCTAAAGTATTAGTTAACTTATCTAGAGCAGAATAATTGATATTAATGCTCTTAGACAATGTATTTGTATTGGAAACACTGTTCAGCTTTACTGTACTACATGTAGGACAATCTTTAGCTAAATGTGTAGTCTGTTTACAGATAAAACATTGTCCTTTAGCTCTCATATTGTCTAGTTCAGCTTGTGAAT